TAAAGGTGGTGGTGGTGGTGGTGGTATTATTATTATTATTATTATTATTATTATTATTATTATTATTATTATTTAGACTCTGAGGTATTGTCTACACTTTTTAATTGACTGTACCCCACCCTTTTTATGCTGGTCTTTGACCGTAATAAAGATTTGATTGATTGATTGATTGATTGACATGGTCATGTGATTAGGAAGGAACGAGGAGGAGATTTTTGCTATTTTCAACTTGGGAAGGGATGCAAAACAGCTACCAAAAGTCTTGTAGAATGTGATTGTTATTAAAATAACACTGAGTTATGTAATGCTTCCTTTTTTTAGTACGGAATTCTACAGCATGCCTTCCAAACAGCAGGAATGAATCCAGATGTTCGCTTTCTCCAAACTTAGTGTAGGGAGTGGGGAGGCAGAGTGCCATCGTTAAAACTTCTCAGACACAGAGGAGGAAACGCAGCACAACACCTGGTAGATCCAGAAGGTGATTAATGTCTTCTGAATCTATCTGAGAACCTAGAAAGAGCATCACAAAAGGTACACAGTGACCATTCTCAAATATCCTTTGAGAAATATCCTAACCATGAAAAGGGCTACATATTTGTCCCCAGTTAGAACATACTTAAACAATATATTGTTATTTGCAAATGACGCGAACGTGGTTCTCCAAGGTTTCTGGCAGGAGCTAAGCTTGCGCTCGCTTTCCACTCCCCAGTCTCACCCCTCTGGGACCTTTTCCCGGATTCCTTTAGCTCCGTCAATTCCTTCCTCTTCTAGCTTGACCTGGGAATGATTAAGACGCGCATCCTGCCATGACCAAACTATCGGTCTCTGATTTCCTTACAGGAATCAAAATGGCTCATCTAGCGATTCAAAGATCTAATTAATAACGGCTGCGAGTCTTTACTGATATAGTAATATGCAAAAATGCACTCTCATATTGCTGGGCAGCCTCTTAATCTGGCCAATAAATAAATCTGCACATACAGGAACTTTGGTCGCTCACTGTAAGGGAAAGAGTTTGGCCTAGTGGTTATGGCACAGGATTTAAAGCTGGGAGTCCTAGTCCTGCCCTGGCCGCAAAGCCAGCTGGGGGACTTGGGGCCAGCCCCCTCCCCCGCTCAGCCTCGAGGAGGAGGTCAGGGCAAACCACTTCCATAAACTGCAGGGACTTGTCCGTGTAGTCACCGGGAGTCAGGGTGGACTCAGCGGGCCACAACAGCCCACCTAAGCTCAGCCTCACACACACAGCTGCACCAGGAGAGCACTCCAGGTCCTCAGAAGGTTGCGCTTCTGCAATATCCCCTCTAGAAAAATATCGGCCCTTTGTCTTTTCTCCTAAGGATGCGTTTTGATGCCATGTAGATGCAAACGCAATGAAATATACCTGAGGAATTTCTTTTTGGGATAAGGTATCCCCTGGATGAGAAAATTCCATATTATATTTAGGGGTATCACAAACCTACCTCCTTAGATCTCCTAATCATGGAGATAAATATTGAAATATTTAGAAAACAGAAAGTAAATAAAATGGAACCTTGCATGGGTGACATTTCCAAGCATTGTATCTTATCCTATCTCAAAAGTAAGAAGCATTCACCATGCAAAAACTCTTGTTCACCACCACCATTCCAGGCTGGAAGAAAAACTCAGCCAGTTAACAGGAACAGGTTGCATGTTAGAAATGGCACCATCAGCTTTGCAGAGGGAAAGCAACAATTACAGACTATATCAAGATTGCACAATAATTTGCCATTAATAATTGAATGGTAGTTCCTACAAAATCAAGGAGAGAGCAATGGCCAGCTGGATGATCCACTCATTATTCCAAAAAGGGGTGAGAAGTGCTTTCGAATGTTTACCCAACCAAGAACAGAGATACAGTGAAAAGAGCACAATCTGAATTTGCTGCATAATTATCACACATATTTCTAACCTCATATGTAGAACAATCACATTCCAGAGCCTGCCACGTAGATTTGGGAGGTGGGAAGCCTGCTCAGACACTGCAGAGCTCTTAAGTAGGTCCATCATTCATTCTCATCCAATAGAGACCTAAAAGAATTCTGCTCAAATCAACGGAATTTCACCCAAGCAGCTACAAAAAATCAGTCTTATGTAGGTCTAAATAAGGTCTGCCAGTAACAAGGCATTCAAAGGGTGAACTATTT